GAGCTTTGTGGTTTCGGATGATCCATGTCCCAGTCCTGAGTCTGCCACTTACTACTGCCTGTGTGATCCTGGGCATGTCTACCTCTGAGCCTGTTTCCTTGTAAAATGGGGTTAAATGCCTACTTCAAATGGTCATTCATACTGTGAGATATACAGACTATGTCAGTTGAATGCTTAACCCAGTGTCCAGCCTATGGTGTGTATTCAACAAATGGTAAGTCTTGGTATAACAGCCTTCCATAATTAGCTTTGGACTGTCCAGAATCAAATTTCTCCTGCTGCTTCATATGTGCATATTTAGCTTCTACAATAAAATAGTAAGTCTCTCAAAGGCAGTGACAGGAGAAATTTGTGATCAATAGACGTATTATCCCTTTCCTATAAATGACCCCAGCTTTCCTGACCATGCCAGCAGACCTTAGCCCCAAGGATTTGCAAACCTGATGTTGCAGGTCAGTTCCCAGGAAGCAGGATGAGGCAGAAGTTGGGCTGTGATCCATTCACGAGGCCTCAGCTGACCCCATAGGAGCTCTGCAGCTGGATGGCCCTTCAGGGTTGTCCCAGGCCTTTAATTCCCTGTTCTGACCAGTCATTGGATGTGGTTGCCCTGGGAAGGAGGCGTGTCCTTAGGTGTACAGCTCTTTTCACCAGAGCATTTCTCCAAAAGGGCTGAGGCTAAGCACTGCCAGCAACTGGGGAAAAAAGTCCTGAGATGAGGGTCTGAATGCTGCCACATCTACCACCTTCAGCTCTAACTGGTGGCTTTGGAGAGGGTGGCAGTCACTGCTAGTTCTCTACCCAATATCCACGTTCCCCTTTGTCAGTAAGAGAAGCCTGCTTCTATTGGGGACAGCAATGTGACCCCCCAAATATACTTGCTTCCCTAGACTCCTTTGCAAGGGAGGTGGGCCCAGGAACTCCCTTCTGGCCAGTGAGATGTAAACAAGAGTCTGGGTTCCCGATGACATTGTGGAGCCACTAGAGAAAACTAAAGGCTTTATTTGCTCAAGCTACTGTAATCAGGTTTCTTCTGCATGTAATCAAACGCAGTCCTAAATTGTTCACAAAGGCATTACCATGTATCCTGCTTAGGAACATGGTCCTTCAAGTTAATGAATACAGTGTGAGTCCCAGCTCTGCTGCATACTAGCTAGTGATGTGAGACCTCAGACAAGTCACTCCATCATGCTTCCCTTTCCTGTAAAGTGAGAATGACAGCAGTACCTAACACTTGTCTCAACATGTAACACTTAGGTAATCAATTTGTTCCAATTTGCCTGGGACTTTCCCATTTTTTAGTATTGAAAATCCTACATCCTAAGAAATTCCTCAGTTCTAGGCAAACCAGGACAGCTGGTCAACCTATTAAAACACACCTCCAGGGCCAGCCCATGGCTCACTCAGGAGAGTGTGGTGCTGATAACACCAAGGCCACGGGTTCGGATCCCGTATAGGGATGGCCAGTTAGCTCATTGGGTGAGTGTGGTGCCGACAGCACCAAGTCAAGGGCTAAGATCCCCTTACCGGTCATCTTTAAAAAACAAACAAAAAACCCCACACCTCCAAACTACTCTACTTCCTCTACAGATGGAAGACTGGACCCTAAAGACTAAAAATTGTATGTGATGCTGCCTCCTGGTGGCTATGCATAATATAACATCACTGCAAAGATAAATTTTACATTGTATTAGTAGTTTTCTTAATAAAAATAGCAAGCCACAGATGGTTAGAGACAGTTAGAATATTCCCCTAAGTATTTAGATTTAAATTTATAACTGATGTAAACGCACTATGTTCTAGTACTAATTGATATTCGCCAACAAATATGGTATCTGGTAGGACTATTGTGAAGATTAAATGAAATGAAGCCTTTTTCCATGGTATCTTACACAATAAAGTGCTCTTTAAAGTTCACTGGCATCACGTAGACTTGGGTTAGACTCTGAGCTCTGACTCTTCCTTTGGAAAACTGACTTCGCCCTTCTGAGCCTGTTTCCTCGTTTGTGTAAGGGGAATAAGACTCTCCTCAGAGTGCTGGGAAGATCGATTAAGAAATACTTGTGGTGCCCCTGTAGGGAAGCAGGATTCTCACTTGGCACATTTACTACCAACAGAGTTATCCAGAAGCCAGGCCTCAGGCCATCCCTCTGCTGAGGGGCTCTGTAGCTCTGAGAGGCGCAGTGCTGGTCCCTCAGGGATACCTTCTCCTCTGCAAGGGTGGTCTCATCTGGTAGTCAGGCTTCAGAGGCCAGGAAGGCCTGAGCAGCCGCTCTGATGGATTCAGCTGGTTTCTCCAAAGCAGAAGCTATTATTACTCATCCAAGCTGGCTTCTGGGCAGGCACTAATACAAGGGTACAATCTAAACTTTCAGTTTGGTAGCCTTGGGCAATGGGAGTTAACTGGTGCTCAGGCCAGAACTCGGTACTAGCTACAACTGGAATGTAAACCCCAGATGTCCTCTGCTTTCTATTTATGGTTGTGTTTAAACACACTAGCATACACCCACCCTAGCCAGAACTGCTAAATCTGTTCAGAAGGCTTCCTGACGGTTGAGGGAGACAGAAGCATGCATCCCTGCTGAGAGTCTCCTGCATCAGTCTTTAAGTTCTAGAAAAAGGAATCACCTAAATGAAGTGAGAGAAAAAAATACATTAATATCTGCAGCTACACTGAAAATGCGTTAATTGCTCAGTTGGGTTGGAAAATCAACACACACGATTGCTGGCCTCTGCTTTGTTCCATGAAAAGTCTGTAGTCCTGTTTTAGTACCTTGGCTTTCAGTTTCAATTTCGTGCATTTTTAATTAGATTTTTAAAATATGTCTAATCTATACTATGAAATATTATTCACTGGCTATAAAAAGAGCCGTCTATATCTGTACCTATATCTGTATCTATCTATCTATCTCAACATGTAATTATCTCCAGGACATACTGTTAAGGGAGGCAAGTTAATGAGAAACCACTTCTCAGACATACTATTGTTAAAGAAAATGAGTTAGTAAAAAATATAAGGGAAGCAAGTTATAGAATAATATACATAAAATGAACTCATCCTATTAAAAAATCACATCTATTTCTGCATCTGAGTGGAAAATTTCCATCCAGCTGCCAAACAGCTCACAGTGTTACCTCTGGAGGTGGAATTAGAGGAAAACTTCACTTTTGAAGTTGTTTTTCAGTCTTGTTTGCTTATTTTCCATTGTACGTGTATTAATTTTAATCATAAAAACAATAGAGCTAAATAGATACATGTATCCGCCCAGACGTGTCAGAAATCAAGGACCATGTCCATTAATCTCAGCTGGGGGCTCAGTGTTTGTTATGGAATGAAGTGTCTCAGCACTTGATATGGAGGAAGATATTTTAATGCTGTGCATACCTGATGCCTCAGGAGGCAAAACCTTTATTCACACTTTTGATGTTGGCCTTAGCCAAAATATTTACTTTTACCAAAGGATGTTATAAATTGATTTTTAAAAAATCTTCTGATTCGCTTTTATTTTTAAATCTTCAAGCTGTGTTTAGCAGTTCTAATTCAGTATATTGTAAGTGGGAGGAAAGAAACCTGTTTAGGCTATAAATACTCAAGACATAACACACAATTTTCAGCAATAAATGAAGCAATTAAGATAAAATTTTAAAATATTGGTTCTCTGTTGAAAAGAACTAGAGTGACTGTGGTACAAACCATTATTTGTACAGTGTAAGTATTCATCAAAAATTTATTTATAGAAACAGGCATATTCAAATGGACAACACTGGACAAAAACAAAGGGAATAGGTTGGAATGCCAAGGACACTGGAAAATCTTACTTGAGCTTTACGTTTTTTCGAATAGAACTAGCACCATTAGTTCGGAAATCACAGATTTAGTTATAATTACTTCTAATATATAAAATACATTATAAAGATTATTTAATTATCTAGTAACAAAGTTCTTCCAAAAACATTTAAAAATCAATCAGAATTTATTATTTGAAACGGATGAAAATGGTTTAAAAATTGATCCAATTCTACGGCTTGTCAAAGGGAATGAACCATAATTAGTTTTACTGGAAGAAAGTGCCTGAATTCAGCTTCTGGCCTTCTAACCACCAAGCGGATACAGTGAATTGCATATTACTATAGGAATAAGAACATTTAAAACTAGTCTTAGAAAATATTTTCCTAGACTATAAAAATACTAAATGGAATACAAAATCTCAGCATATACAGCAAATGGACTACAGCAGACAAGTATTTAAAACTATCTTGTACCACAATCATCATGAACATCAAGTATTATTCTAATCATTTTCGATGATTCACTCTGATTCGATGTTTATTTTGCTTCAAGTTTTCTTGTAGTGTCAGATACAGACCATATTCTGTGTTTCTAGCAGATGTTACTGGAGGAACCATTGAATAATTCTTGGTATTCGAGTGGTTCTCAAAGTGCTAGAAGTGCAATTGTAGTAGAACTTGTTTTTTTAGATCAGGGGTCAGCAAACAACAGCCCGGGGGCCAAATCTGGGAGCCGTACCTGTCTTGTACAGCCTGTGAACACAGCCACAATTAATCGTTTATGTATTGCCTACAGTTGCTGTCATGTTACAATAGCAGAATTGAGTAGTTGCGACAGAGACTGTGATGTGGCCTTTTGGTCTGAAAAGTCCAAGATATTTATTATCTGGCCCTTTAAAGAAAAAGTTTGCCAACCCCTGTTTTAGATAAGTCACTTCAGGAAATTTTTCACTGAAGGACAAGGCAAAATTGTTCAAGATTAAGAAAATTTTGGCTGAGGTTTGCTCGTTCCATCATACAGTACCATGGCAGGCCAAAAGAATACAAACTTGGGTTGGCAACTTGGGGTATTGAAATATTATTCTGGGGCTGGCCCGTGGCTCACTCGGGTGAGTGTGGTGCTGATAACACCAAGGCCACAGGTTCGAATCCCATATAGGGATGGCCGGTTAGCTTACTGGGTGAGCATGGTGCTGATAACACCAACTCAAGGGTTAAGATCCCCTTACTGGTCATCTTTAAAAAAAAAAAAAGAAATATTATTCTGGCGTTCTAAGCAAAGTCTGGTTATGATAAAGTACCTTTTTTTCCTCTGGGAACTGTACCAAGTAACTTATATACCAGATTATAGCAACGTGCTTACTGTTCAACCCAAACCATCTCTGTGGTTCCCAAACACAATTTTTAGCCTTTAAAAATCCATAATTTTACACCCTTAGCAACAGACAGAACCTAGAAGCAGACACTTCCCAGCCCTCTGTATTGGCATAGATTCTATAGTGCTGTGCCTCGTACCTTTTAGAATCTTTCCCTGTGACATGCATCATAATAATTAGTACTACTGCTACCTAGGGCCACAAACATGTCCCTTTTGACAAAGCGGACTAAGTTTTCAAGGGGACACATGGGCTTGAGAGAACGCTTTTGGTGGTCTTGGCAGAAAGAGGTGTGGAATGTGACGTCAACACCATTGTAAAGGATACGAACAGAATGTTCACTGGGCTTTTCTCTGTCTTGCCAGAGCTCAAAGATCAATCTGGCTGCAAACCTTGGGAACCTGGCTTCTGTAAGGCCCAAGGCACTGAGAACTGGTGACAGAGTGACATCATGAGCAGAGTAGAGGGCAAAGATCTCTTCTTTCCTGCCCTCGGCAGCACGTTGCATCCGACCGATGGTTTGGTTCAGGATGGGGTGGGCACCCAGCAGCGAATACCCAAGGTACAGTTTTTTCTCCCGCCTTTCTCTCTCATCCTCTATCTGATGGGTCTTGATCACCTTGAAGTGCTCCATGTCAATGCAGCCATTTCTGGTACAGGGGAAGCTGACATTGTGGCAGAAGTGGCAGAGCATGGAGTCTATGGGGTTGGCAGCTCGGAGCTGCTTGGTGGGGATGTCCACGATCTTGGCCATCTCCCCATAGGTCCTCTCCAGCTGGCTGTTTTTCAAACGTAAAAGGTACTGACGACGCTGCTCCTTTTCCAGATACTGGTTTCTCACCGGGCAATAGCAGTTTCCAGAGCAGAACAGAGCACTTGGCTGGTGCCGGAAATAAATCTTCTTCCAGTCAAAATCTGGAAGAAAGCCATAAAGCAAGGCCAGCCCACTCTGTAGGGTCCGGCTCTTCCCAGTGGTCTCTAAGTAAAGCTGATCTGTGGACCAGTCACTGGACAGGAGTTTGTGTTTCTTTAGGTAGATGTCTCTCAGCAGCTGCCCATTCTGCAAATGCTGCACGACTCCTAAAACGCAGGACGACACAAAGCTTTCATTACTATTACCTTAGCAAGAGGATCAGCAGCGGGAGGCTGAGTCTGCCCAACTGTGGAATGTTTTAGATCAGTATAAGACAGTATAATCGAGCCCATTTCCTCACCCGATGGAAGTTATGAAAATGGGTGGGTTCATGTCAACTTGGGAAGGGAAACTCTTGGGAGTATCCATGAAGGGATGAGCACAGTGGGGCCCTGTCCACTGGAGCCACAGCCTTCGGGGGGAGCACAGGGACAATTTGCCTCGCTCTTGCCCTCATCACTGGTCCATTCCCTGGGGAGGAATCACTCAGCCAGTGACTATCTAGATGGAAATTGGCATGGGCCTAAGGACAGCTTTTTCCCTCCCACCAGGGACACAGCATTCTTCAGTGTGCAGGAACTGCTCAGTGGAATCGGTCAACTGCAAGTTGCCTGCTTGATGCTTAGTCGCTCACTGCTGCGAAGTTCCTTCCTTGACCCCATCTTCCCTAGTCTGCCCAACCTAATACTCTCTGCTAACATTCTAGGTACATTTCTGCCCAGTCCTGCTGGGGCTTAAGGCTTATCAACAAGGACACGTCCTCTATACAATATGGAATGAGCTCCCAGATACCAGATAAAATATTTGAAAAAAGCAAAGCACAGAAGAGTATGTTTATTATGTTCCTTCTAAATAAAAAAGAGAGAAAAAGAAGAATGTGTATTTCAGTTGCCTGCATTGCATGAAGAAACTTTGGAAGGATGCACAAGAAACTACTATCAGTGGGGTTGATGGAGGCACACAAATTAGGTGGATGGAACATGGGGAGAAGAAAAAATTCTAAGTTTACCTTTTAGTACTGTTTGAGTTTGAACTACCACAGTACAATAATAAATTAACATTTTTAAAAATGAAAAAGCCTTATCTTCAAGTAGGAGAAGGCAATCCAAGACAAAAGTGAGCTCACCCTCCAGCCTGCAGGATGTGGGGGTGCAGTCCCCGTAATGGGTATGAACTCTCTGAGGGTGTAAACTGCACACAGGCCCTATGACCAGTAATGTCATTTATTCAGGTATCTAAACAGTTTGAAAAGTTCCACCGCAAACACCAAACAGGCTGAAAAGCATGAGACAGAGGAAAAGTGTGTCGGCCCTGGGTGACAACAGCTCAGCAACAGACACAGAAGACAACTGGAAGAGCACTGGAAGCAGAATCCCTCAGGGACCCGGCTAGCTCAGGCCTTAGCATTTCCAAATGATTTGCCAAAAGAGGCAAACCACGAGTCATGAACATTAAGAACCTGTGTCTGGCCCCCATTCCTGCTGGGCCTATCATGTTTTCTTAGACTACATATATTGTAGTTAGAGTGCTTACTTTCTCATTTAATCTGCACAAAAACCCAATGAAGATGGCAAGTTACTATTACCACCCCATTTTCCTTTTTTTACAGATGAAGAAACTGAGGCCCTGAGCCACTCACAGTTAAGAAGCGGCAGAACCAGAACTCAAGGCCCCATGGGCCCCAATTTTGTGCTCTTGTCCCCGCTCACAGCACTTTCTCTACATTGTCATGCAGGAGTATGAAGTCCCAGCATCGAGGCCTGCGTCTTACGGCTTAGTTCGTGCTGCCCCTTTCCCTGCTTAAAGGGGTCCTCACCCGGTGCTTGGCTCCAGCAATACCTTCTTTGTAGAGCTTTCCTTTGTCCTTTTCCAGGTCAAATTAATCATTCCTTCCTGTTCCCATACGCTGATGGACCTCCATGACAATGTTTGTTGCATTCACCAAGAGCCTATCATATGCTAGCACTGTGCCAGGCACTCTACACAGGCTATCTGATTGGATTCACCACCAGCCCTGTCAGGAAGCTATTATTAGCCCCATTTTCCAGGTCTGCCTGACTCCAAAGCATGTGCTTATTCTCTAAGACCCTGCAGCTTCCAGGCACAGTTAGTTGTCTCCATGCATGTTGCCCCCCTGCAGCTGCAGGCTCCTTAGGACTGGCAGGAGATGGTCACATTCATCTGGCCACCCTGTACACTCAGCAGCTGCCAAAGAACCTTCAATAGAGTAGGCACTAATAAGCAGTCTTATCTTACATAGTTACTGTGGGGTGCCATAAGTGTGCCAGTTATAAATGATTATTACAACAGCTATGCATTTTTAATGACATTTAAAATAAAAGATAAAAGTGCCCATTAAAAGAGAATGAGGGAACAGGAGCAAATAGTACTGCAAGTGATTTCTAGAGTACTTCTAATTTAGAAAATGATGATGATAACAGATCAATTGAGAAGTACTATGGATTGAATGTCCCCCCAAAACTCACTGAAGCTTGGTCCCCATTGTAACAGAGGGTATTAAATCCTACTATGGTATCTGAAAGGTGGGGCTTTTTTTTTTTTTTTTTTTTTTTTTTTTTTTTTTTTTTTTT